TGCTCAGGCTGGTTTCGAACTCCTGAGCTCAAACAATCCGCCCGCCTCGGCCTCCCAGAGAGCTAGGATTACAGGCGTGAGCCACCGCGCCAGGCCCTGTAGTAAGTTTTAAAATCAGGAAGTGTTCTGTTTCAAGATTGTTTTGGCTATTCTGGATCCTTAAGTTTCTGAATTAGTGTGTCTGTTTCTACAAAGAAGCCAGCGGGAGTCTGATAAGGGATTGTGCTGAATCTGTAAGTCAGCGGGGAGTATCGCCATCTTACTGTGAAGTCTTCTCAGCCATGAACATGGGATGTCTTTTCATTTAGTTAGATCTTAATTTCTTTGAACACTGCTTTGTTCAATCAGAGTACTCTATACATTTTATACTTTTTTTGATGCTGTTGTAAATGGAATTTTTTCCTAAATTTGTTTTGGATTGTTCATTGCTTGCATATAGAAATAAAATTGATTTTTATATATTGATTTTTGTGTTCTGCAACCTTGTGAACTCATTTATTAGCTTGAGTAGGGTTTTTTGTGGGTTTTTTTTTTGTCTTTTTGTTTTTTTCATTTCCCCAGTTTCAAAATGCATCGAATAGTTTTTTAGTTAGGATTTTTCATGTGCAAGATCATGTCACCGGCTAAAATAGATAGTTTTTCCTTAGCAATCTTGATTCTTTTATTTTGTTTTCTTGCACTGACTGGAACCTGTGGCACTGCGTTGAGTAGGAGAGGTGGGAGTGGACCTCACGGCCGGGTCCATGGTATCAAGGGGAAGCGTCTAGTCTTTCCGCACTAAGTACAGCAGTAACTGTGGGTTTATCAGGTTGAGAAGCTCCCTTCCGTTCTAGTGTGTTGAGTGCTTTTATCATGAAAGAGTGTTGGATTTTGCAAAATGGGTCTGTCGAGATGATGTGTTTTTGTTTTTTATTTTATTGATATGGGGTATTACATTAATTGACTTTTGGGTGTTAAACCAATCTTGCATCCCTGCAATAAATCCTACTTGGTCATGGTTTATAATCATTTTTATATGTTGCTGGATTCAATTTGCTAGTATTTTGTTGATCATTTTTGTGTTTATATTCATAAGAGATATTGGTCTATAGTTTTATTATTAATAAACTTTTGACTGTTGTGATAATAGTAGCTGTTATAATGGTTTTTGGTTTGCCTTTTTAAAAAAAATGGAGGTAATTTACAAACCATAAAAGGCACCCATTTAAAGTGTATAATTAGGCTGGGTGAGGTGGCTCACGTCCATAATTCTACCACTTTGGGAGGCCCAGGCAGGAAGATTGCTTGAGGTCATGAGTTCAAGACCAGCCTGAGCAAGCGTGAGACCCTGTCTCTACAAAAAATAGAAAAATTAGCCAGATGTGATGATGCACACCTGTAGTCCCAGCTACTCGGGAAGCTGAGGCGGGAGGATCGCATGAGCCCAGGAGTTGGAGGTTGCAGTGAGCTATGATGATGCCACTGCACTCCAGCCTAGGTGACAGAGCAAGACCCTGTCTCAAAAAAAAAAAAGGATATAATTCATTGGTTTTTAATATATTCACAGTCATGCAGCCATCACCACTATCTAATTCCAGAACATTCCATCATCCCAAAAGGAAGCCAGGTCCCCATCAGCAGTCACTCCCCATCCTTCCCCCAGCCCCTGACAACCACAAATCCACTTCCCGTCTCTGTGGATCTGCCTGTTCTAGGCATTCCATGTAAGTGAAGTCACACCCTGTGTGGCCTGTGTGTTTGGCATCTCTCACGGGTCACAGTGTGTTCGAGGTCCGTCCATGTAGCCTGGATCAGGACTGTAGGGCTGCTCGTGGGCAGTTTTTAGTAAGTGTCACGGGAGGCGTGTCTGGCCCTGAGTGGAGTGCTTGGACCCTGTGAGTAGGTTGCTGGTGGAGGCATAGCAAGCAGTGGCTGCATGCGTGTCCTGCTCTCAGTGTCCCCAGGCCCTAGAGGCAGAGGCTCACCAGGGGCTGGGCTTGACCAGCGCTTGCTGTTGGCCACCATGCCGTCATGTCCAGGGGTGGGTTTTGGGCCAGCTGAGCTAACTCTGCCTCTCTTCCTTCACAGGCCTCCTCGCTGGGGAGGCAGAGTCCTCGAGTGGCCTCCTGCCTTGCACGCAGCCTGTGCCCGGGGGAGCCTGGCTTGCAGACAGCAGCAGGTACCTTCCTCCTTTCCTCGCCCTCTCCCTCCTGCCCAGGTCCGCCAGGGCCTTTGTGGTTGTAAGAGACAGAATCCCTGCTCAGCACACTGGCCCCTGGAGTCCAGGGTGGCCCATCCTCCACCCGGTCAGGTGGAGATGTAGGGGCAGAGTGGTCAGGATGGTCTTCCTCTTCTCTAGCAAGATGAGCCAGGCAGCCCCAGACTGTCCTCAGAAACCCCCATAGAGGACCACAGTGCCTCTCTCCTGGCAGGTCCTGCCCATGTCCAGGCACACACCAGCGTGAGGCTGAGGGCTGGGTCAGCCTGCTGGAGTGTCAGGGAGGGGTGGTGTGCCAAAGGGTTCCCACAGCCCTCGGGGCTAGAGAAGGTGGGGCAGCTGCTGGGCTGGTGACGTCCCTTGTGTGCCCTGACCCATTTGGGATCAAGGTCCTGAGCCTCTCCTGATGGCACCTGCTAGGGACCCATGGGGAGGAGCTGATGCTGGAGGGCTGGGTCTCTGCGCTTGTGCTCCCCCTCACTGCACCCAGCTGCGGGCCAATGTGGGGCCGCATCTCTCCAGCATCTGAACCAGCCTCCACCCTGGCCCCCAGAGAAGGCATCTCCCGTCTCCCCACACGGCTCCTCTTGCAAGGAGCCAGTGGTCCCAGAGTGCCTCGTCCCCCGCAGCTTGGTGTCTGCCGTGTGGGCCTTGTGCTGGCCTGGGCTCTGCGCTGGTGCACGCCCACTTGAGCAGCGGTGCAGGCAGCGGGACTGCCCCCTGGAGGCCTCCTGCCCTGTACCCCCAGGCTCCCAGCACCCCAGCCTTGGGAATTCACTGCTCTCTGCCTTGGACTGATTGAGTGGGAGCTGTTTCCTTTTTGTTGGTTTGTTTTAAAATTTGGCTTATTGAAGACTATTCATGAAGGGAGCCAGCAGTGAGCACACTCTGGTTCTCTGGGGGAAACCCCGGATCTGGCGACAGTTGCCATCCATTGAGCTCTGCGCAGGAGGCTGAGCCTGGCGAGTAACCTCCTTGTGCCAGTGCGCACATGTGGCCCGGAAGGGCTTCGCCCTTGGGCATGGCAGGGTCCCATTGCCTCGCCTGCTCCAGATGTCCACAGTCTCTGCATGATGGCTGGGGCCGCTAGGCAGGTGCTCACCTGGGCTGGTGTCTCTTCCACAGTGGTGTCCATGGGCTCTGCTGACCCCCAGTTCAACCTCGCAGAGATCCTGTCGCAGGACTACAGCATCCGGGACGGGTGCGAGGAGACCTCGAGGTGCCCGGAGAAGCCCGAGGGGGAGCTGGAGAAAGACTTCATCTCCCAGGTACTGGGCTGAGCGATCCCGTGCCCTCGACGTGGGGCCCTCCTGGGCAAGCTTCACCTCCTGGGCGGATTCCATGTTGGCGGGCACCACTGTCAGACCTGTTCACAGAGTACTAAGCACTGCGCTAGGCGCTTTGACTCAGCGGGGTACTGGCTGCCTCCGTGGGGCTCTAGACCCGCCAGTGGTGACACACGAAACCAACCACCGTGCTGGTCTTTAAGCCCCTGATACCCATAAACATTGTTGAGGGTCCCCAGGAGCTTTGTTTATGTGGTTTATCTATTGCTTTTTACCGTATTAAAAGTTAAAATTGGCCGGGTGCGGTGGCTCACGCCTCTAATCCTAGCACTCTGGGAGGCCGAGACGGGCGGATTGTTTGAGCTCAGGAGTTCCAGACCAGCCTGAGCAAGAGCGAGACCCTGTCTCTACTAAAAAAATAGAAAGAAATTAGCTGGACAACTAAAAATATATAGAAAAAATTAGCCGGGCATGGTGGCAACATGCCTGTAGTCCCAGCTACTTGGGAGGCTGAGGCAGTAGGATCACTTGAGCCCAGGAGTTTGAGGTTGCTGTGATCTGATGCCACCGCATTCTAGCTGGGGCAACAGAGTGACACTCTGTCTCAAAAAAAAAAAAAAAACTTAAAAAAAAAAAACAAGAACAAAAAGTTAAAATTGACATTTAAAAAATACTTAGTTACTAATCCATTTAATAACAATAGATCAATTACATGTTAATATAAATAATATATTTTTATGAAAATAAAAAAATAACTGTTTTTCAAAAGAAAAATCTTAGGGAGATTTTTCCAAATCTCTTTGAACGTAGAAACAGATACAAGAATCCAGCGCTGTCTTTTAAGGCAGATGTTAATCTGTCGTGGTAGGTTCCTTCGGTTCAAATACAGACCTGTTGTTAGAAAAGGGAGGAGTGTTCCACAGCCTCTTCAGATAACTGTGGATACACCAAAAACTCAGCAAGTGGTAGTTTCGTAAAGAGTATTTGCAGAGTGGAATTCAAGACTGTGTCAGTGAACCTTTTGTGCTTGGTTCTGTTAAAATCCATTGGTCTTGCACGTGGAGTGGATCTTTACCCGAGTGTGATCTGGCCACATTCTGCATTGTTCCCTTTGCAAAATGATTGGTTCACATGTAGATCTTTCGATACAAAATCAAAAAGCCACATTTGTTAACATGTCAGTCTGCTAGGGCTACCATAGCAAAATGCCACAGACTAGGTGGCTTTAACAGCAGAAATTTACTTTTCACAGTTTAGGGGCTTGAAAAGTCCAAGGTGAAGGTCTGGTAGAGTGGGTTTCTGGTCGGAGCTCTCTTCCTGGCTCGCAGGGAGCCGCCTTCTCACAGTGTCCTCACATGACGGACAGAAAGCAAGTGAGCTTTCTGGTATTTTTTCTTTTTCTTCTTCTTTTTTCTTTTCCTTTTCTGTTTCCTTTTCCATTCCTCCCCTTCCCCTTTTCCCCCTTTCCTTTCCTTTTTTTTAAGACACAGGGTCTTACTCTGTCACCCAGCCTAGGACTCCTGGGCTCAAGCGATCCTCCTGACTCAGCATCTGGTACTACAGGTACACACCACTACATCTGGCTAATTTTTTATTTTTTGTAGAGATGGGGTCTCACTATGTTGCCCAGGCTGATCTCAAACTCCTAGCGTCAAGTGATCCTCCAGCCTTGGCCTCCCAAAGTGCTGGGATTACAGGCGTGAGCCACTGTGCCTGGCCAAGGTGTTTTTTTCTTACAAGGACAATAATCCTGTTGGATCAGGGCCCCACCTTCACGACCCTCTTGAAGCTTAACTTCTGTAAAGGCTCTATCTCCAAATGCAGTCACGTTGAGGATCAGGGTTGTTATAACAGTTAATATTACCAATAGTCTCATCAGAATTTTTTTAAGTATTGAGAATTTATTAAGTTCATGTCGTCACATTCAGTTTTCCGAAATTATAGTATTTTTTTTTTTGAATGCTTTAGTTTTACCATTGTAGCAAGCACAGTCAGTTGTTTCCATTGAAGTAACAGCCCACTTGTCTCATGTATGAAGCTGTGTCTGCCCAGTGCTGGCCTGGGCGGCCGAGGTCTGGGTGGCCGTGGTCTACTAGCTGTTCCTCCTAGTAAAACTGAGAAGAGCGGCCCCCACCTCACCACTCAGTCTCACGGTGTGCTGCTTTGACGGAACTACCTTACTTTGGTATACAGCAGGTGCTTTATGTGTGCTTCTCATTTCCTCACACATAAAATCAAACATCTGCTCAGGGTGAGATTTAACAAAATTACTATTTTTATCCAGGATATTTGTAAGTGAAACTGACCTCTCTTTGTCTATAAGGAGTTAGACGGTGGCAGCCTCAGGGGTTGGCGCTGGCCTCTTGCTGGCTGTTGACTGTACCATCGGTGCAGCGTCAGCGCAGCAGAAAATGGAAATAATGTGTGGGTGCTGTTATGAAAGTGGGTTCACCTTGGGTTACCCTAGAAAGTTCCCAGGAACCGGGGGCCTCTGGACCACCATGTCCACCTCCCCAGCGAATGCACAGTCAGGAACGGTGTGGCACTGAGTGCTTTCCGTCCTTGGGGTCCCACCAGAGAGTGAAAGGGGGCACTTGATTCCAATGGGGAGAAGGTCGTGGTGCTGCCCTGAGGAAGGGCTGGTTTTCTATGTGGACTTAGAAGTCCCCCAGGATGAGTCAGGGCAGGAGTGCAGCGGGGGGCAGGTGCTGACGTCCTGGGTGGATGAGAGGGAAAGTCCAGGGAGTTAGAAGCCAATGGAGACCCACAGGGGCCAGGGAGGAGCGTGGGCAGCCGATCGTGACCCACGGGTCAGGGAGGAGTGTGGGCAGCAGCACTAGCCTCAGAGGAGTAGAGAGTGTAGAGAGAAAATGATTTGAAAGCAGCGCCGGAGAGGAAGGTAACGTAGTTTGTGTCTCTTCCTTCCAGGGAATTAAGTGCCGCATTTCTTTTTCTTGTATCGTGTTGGCTCAGTGTTTGTCAGCCATGGTACTCTTGTTCTGCATTGTGGTGGGGTCTCTCTGGCTGCCCACGTCTGACCCAGTGCATGTTGGCAGCTTCCCCATTGCACTGATGAGGCAGCATCTGTTTATGTATTTACTGATGTGTTTTTCTCCTTAGTCAGGAGTGGTTGTTGGATTTTACCAAATGCCTTTTTCAGATGTGTTTTTTTTTGCTTTGGTTTATTGGTGTCACGAATTGTGACAGCAGAGTCAGATATTGAGCCATCCTTGCTTTCCTGGAGTTAGTCATGCACAGGCCTGTGCAAGGAGGCCCTGCAGGCAGTGTGGTACTGGCGGGAGGCTAGTCCTGGCTGCACCCTTCCTGGCTGGTGACCTGTAGGCTCAGGTGTCTCCTCTGCACCTCTCCTGGGGGTCGTAAGGGAGTCCTGGGTGAAGGTCTGGCCTGGGTCTGGCTACTGAGTGCTGCCACTTGGGTTGTGGCAGTGATCCTTGTTGTGGTGGCCAGCAGGACCCAGGCAGGAGGAAGGGGCCCAGAACCCCCAGAGCAGTCCCTCCTGATGTGGCCCTATCCTGCTCCCTCATTCAGAGCAGCGACATGCCTCTCGACGAGCTGCTTGCCCTCTATGGCTACGAGGCGTCAGATCCCATCTCAGAACGGGAGAGCGAGGGCGGTGACGTGGCGCCCAGCCTCCCGGACATGACCCTGGACAAGGTGAGCAAGGTCTCTTCCTGGAACTGGCCCTCAGCAAAAGCAGGGAGCCCACTTGGAGCCCCTGGCTGCTCTGGAGGATGGGGACTGATGAGAGGACCACAGAGGCCCCAGAACAAATAGAAACATTGTCAGGAAGCAGCAGGCCAGCTTACAGAGTGTTCCCTGTGACCAGCTGCCCAGGGCTAGGATGGCCATGGCAGGGCTGGAACAGAGAGACCCTGCCCACAGGCCAGTTGTCGTCCTGGCTGGGTGGGTGGAGAGACAGCAGCAGGGAGGGGAGATGAGCCAGTGACCCACCTCCCAGGGCCAGCCTCTGATGCCCCCACCCAGAGGTCATCGGTCAGGTGTCAGGGGCAGGGAGGGCTTTACTGTGGGAGTTTAAAACCAAAAGCATAGGTAGAGAGAGCCACGTGGGCGCCCGGGGCAGCTTTCACGATCCCCAGCTTTAGTGGTCGGGTATAGGCTCCGCCCTGACATCGCACCCTGTGTACCCTTGGCTGGCCTGTCCCCGAGCCTCAGTTTCTTCTGCAGAATGGGAATGACAGCCCACGGGAGCCTCAGGGCTCTCCAGTGAGGGAGGCGTCTGTCACTGTCTTTACTGTCATTAGTGCTTTGAGATTGTTACAGTAAGGTGTAAAATATTCTTTACTTTCTTGTTAAAGGAACAAATAGCAAAGGATTTGCTTTCAGGAGAGGAGGAGGAAGAGACGCAGTCCTCAGCGGATGACCTTACCCCGTCTGTGACCTCCCACGAGGCCTCTGACCTCTTCCCTCATGAGAGCGGCTGTAGGTGTCCCTGGCCCCGTCCCCCACTCCGCGGCCCACGCGAGGCACCAGTGGTACAGATGGAGGCGCCGGGGCTGGGGTGTGCCCAGGGCACTGCACAGGTGGCACATCTGCCCAGACCTCTGGCCCGCGGGCTGAGACTCGTGGTGGTTTTTGTCTAAACGGGGAAGGGAAGTGTTGGTTCCCATGGCAGATCCAGGGATAGCATCCCACGCCCAGAGCCGTCCTTTCTCGGGGCTGCCTGCCTCTCCAAGTTTTCCCTGGTGGCTGGGGCTGTGGGGCCCTGTGGTGTAGCCACCTGGCCGAGGGGGTCACTCCCCAGAGAAAGGGGTGTGCAGGCTGTGACCAGCAGAGACCCTGAGGCTGTCCCCAGCGCTGCAGGAGAACAAGGGCTGGGCTGCACAGCAGACAGACACACCTACGCCCTTCCCTTTTCCCAAAGCTCGTTTCCTGGCTGATGAAGACAAAGAACCGGGTTCTTCTGCCTCCTCTGACACCGAGGAGGACTCTCTTCCTGCCAACAAGTGTAAGAAGGTGTGTGGCTCTGGCCTCCCCCTGGCCTGGGGCAGCGCAGCTGGGCCTGCTGTTTGTGCCCCTCCTCAGAGGAGGGCGTGGGCTGCCTGGTGTGGTCTGGTTGGGACTCAGACCCGGAGCCTGGGGACTGCTGGCCAGGCGTCAAGACAGTCTCTCACACATTCACACACCCAGACCTCTGCGTCCCCTCGTCAGACCGCAGAGCTGGGTGGCAGCGGGCAGATCACCCAGATGGGTCTGGGGTCCAGCCAGCGGCCCTGCACCTGGAGCCCCCCGCAGCACTGTGGCGGCTGCCTCGCGTGTGGCCCGGATGCTTCCTCGGTGCCCTGATGCCTGGGCCTTTGCCTTTGCAGGAGATCATGGTTGGGCCCCAGTTCCAAGCCGACCTCAGCAACCTGCACCTGCACCGGCACGCTGAGAAGAGTAAGTGGGCCCGGGAGCAGAGGAGGCCCACTCCAGCAGGGCGCGGCTGCCGCGCAGAGAGCGCCCGAGGGGCCCACCCTGGTCAGGAGCCTGCCCTGCACAGCCTGGTGGGGCTGAGGCCGTATTGGAAGAGGTGGGGCGGCCCACGTGGCTGCCGTGGGTCTGCCAGTGCCTGCCCCTCCCTCGGGGTCTGCTCTCTTCCCCCTGAGCAGCCAGACCCCCGGCAGCCCACCCTGCCCTGACCCCCAACCCTGGCCTTGGCCCTGGCCACCCCTCCTGTTCGTTCCCCTGCCCCAGGGCTGCTGCGGGGTGGCTGCTTCTCCTCACGGGTTCCCAGGCAGATGCCCTCCTCGCAGAGAGACCTTCTGCTGCCTCCCTGTGCCCTGCCGGGCACTCCCTTTCCTGGCTTGGCGTCTGTCTCTTCCCACTAGACTCAGAGCCGAGCCTCTGCTGCTCCTTCGAGACAGGAAGTCACCTGCCTGTTGACTTGGGTCTTGTTCTTTTTACCCTGGATCCCTGCAGGGGCAGCACTCCTGGCCCAGGAACCTTTTCCAAGATGATTTGGCGGCTGGGATTGGCGTGGAAGGGACAGACCCAGACGCAAGTGCTGGGGTCAGGGAGATTGGCACCCTCAGAGAAGAGGGAGTCCTTTTGGGCCAGCGTTGGCTCGGGGGTGGTGGGATGTGCTCGCACAGACATGGGACGGCAGAAGAGCATGTAGCCAAGCTGGGAGGTCCAAGAGGCAGGGTCAGAGGGGACACACAGGACCCTCATCTCAGCGACGCCCTCAGGGACCCAAGCCTCTGTGTAGGTCTCAGTCTGGAACCCCAGCCTTAGAGCCTGTTATCTGGGTCCTTGTCCTGTCCCACCTCACCCACCACGAGCGCACGCTGTCGGGGAGCAGCCAGTCCTCCTCGATCCCATGGGTCGAAAGCTGACCTCTCACTGCATGTTGCATTCACGTCATTGTGCGTATCTTGTGCATTGTGTCATGTTCTTCTGTTTGGGTGTACTGCACTTGCTTATCCATCCTGCGGTTAGTATTGTGGGTGTTTGCAGGTGTGGGTTGAGTGTTCTTGCCTGTCTGTCGTTGTACCCGTGCACTCTGCTTGATGCACAGCTGGGAGTGTGGCGGGTGCACGTCAAGGTTTATAAACCGGTTTGGGAGGTTCCCTCTGGCACTTTGTGGGAGTTCCAGTTGCTCCACATCCTCATCAACGTTTGATACTATCTGCCTTGTTGGTTTTAGCTCTTCTGGTGAGTGTGGGCTGGTGCCTCATTGCTTTGATTTGCATTTTCCTGTTGAGTAATAACGTTGAGCACCTTTTTTGTATGTTAACCGGCTGTTTGGATATTCTCTTGTGAAGTGCCTGCTCAGAGATTTTCCCCGTTTTTAACTTGGGTTGTCTTTCTCTCTCTGATGTGTGGGAGTTGTTTACGTGTTCCTGACACAAGTCATTTCTTGGCTGTGTGGACTGCCAGTGTTTTCTCCCAGCTTGTGGCTTGCCTTGGACTCATTCACTAATGTCTTTAATTTTAAGACAGTCCAACGTATCTTTATTTTAATGATAATGTGTGTAGTGTTTTGAGTTTTTGCTGACCCCTAAGGTCTTGAAGATATTCTTCTATGTTTCCTTCTAGAATCTTTGGAAGTTCCACTGTCACATTTAAGGCTATGATCCAACTTAATTTAATTTTTAATGTATGGCACAAGGTAGGGCTCAGGGTTCTTCTTCTCCCCGTGTAGATGTGAACTTGCTCCAGCACCGTTATGTTGAAAAGTCCATTCTCTCCCCTACTGAATTGCAGTGGTGCCTTCATGATAAATCAAGTGTCTGTAATGTGTGTGTTTTGGAGGCTTTTGTTCCTTTGGTCTCTTGTCTCACCCTGAATCATCATGACACTGTTTCAATTATTACAGCTTTGAAGTAAGTCTGAGGGGGTGCGAGTCTTCCAACTTTGTAAGTTTGCATTGTATATCTATATAAATTTTAAGATTAGTTTGTGAGTTGCCTCAAGAAAAACCTATGATTTTGATTAGGCTTGCATTGAATTCTTAGATTAATATGGGGAAGAACTGATATATTAACAATGTTGGTACTTCCAGTCTATGAATATGGTTTACCTCTCTATTACGATCTTTAACTTAAATGTTCCATTGTATATAAAAGAAATTTTTAAAAAAGATCTTTAATTTTAGCAATATTTTATAGTTTTCAGTGTAGGAGTCTTGAGCGTTTCATTAATCTTACTTATTGGTTGCTGTCATAAAGGATATTTTTTAAATCTTCATTTTCTACTTTATGCTAGTAGAAATGCAATTTGTTTTAGTTGATCTTGTACCTAGTGACTTTGCTAAAATACTAATTTCAATACTTTGTAGATTCTTTTTGTTTATGTACACAGTCATTTCATTTGCTAACAACAGCTTTGCTTTTTTCTTTACAATTTTTGTATCTTTTTTTCTGTAGAAATGCAATTTGTTTTAGTTGATCTTGTACC